CGTCGATCTTAAGAATTACCGCACACTTCACTCATTTGGGCAGTCACGGGGCCAAAAACCAGAGTGTGGAGCCACAGTGTGGCGGTGGAGGCAGCAGCAATGGGAGGCCATACAGCACCCTATGACAAAAATGGAACCCCACCAGCAGTGTGAGGAGACCTGAAAGTGGCACATGGCAGAGTGTGGCGATGGAGACAGCAGCAATGGGAGGCCGTACAGGGACCCAGGACACACTCTGGACCTGGCAGCAGCATGAGGAGGGCGGTACGGGGGCCCATGGCAGATTACGGGCCTGGCAGCAGCAATGGGAGGCCGTACAGGGACCATGACACACTCTGGACCTGGCAGCAGCATGAGGAGGCGGTACAGGGCCCATGACAGATTACGGGCCTGGCAGCAGCATGAGGAGGCGGTACGGGGGCCCATGACAGATTACAGGCCTGGCAGCAGCATGAGGAGTCGGTACGGGGGCCCATGACACACTCTGGACCTGGCAGCAGCATGAGGAGGTGGTACAGGGGCCCATGACAGATTACGGGCCTGGCAGCAGCATGAGGAGGCGGTACCGGGGGGTCCATGGCAGATTACGGGCCTGGCAGCAGCAATGGGAGGCCGTACAGGGACCCATGACACACTCTGGACCTGGCAGCAGCATGAGGAGGCGGTACAGGGGGGGGCCCATGACAGATTACGGGCCTGGCAGCAGCATGAGTAGTCGGTACGGGGGGCCCATGGCAGATTACGGCCTGGCAGCAGCAATGGGAGGCCGTACAGGGACCCATGACACACTCTGGACCTGGCAGCAGCATGAGGAGGCGGTACAGGGGCCCATGGCAGATTACGGGCCTGGCAGCAGCAATGGGAGGCCCGTAATCTGCCAGCACCCTATGACAAAATGGAACCCTGGGGCTGGGGCAGGCAGAACCGCCGTATCTTTATCACGGTTTTCCCAGGCCACCGAATGGCGACGCTGCATATGCTGACGCAACGCTGTAGTCCCAACATGGGCCCCCTGGCCACGCTTGACTTTCTGGCCACATAGTCGACATACGGCTACGTTTACTTCCTCAGGCGGCTTGACGAAAAATTGCCACACCGCCGAGTAGGAAACTTTGCCCCCGCTACTCCTCACTGGCTGACTGCTACTTCCTCTGTGCACACCGGCACCACTACTGGCCGTGGTGGTAGGCTGCAGTGGAGCTGGTGCTCTACTCCGTGGCCGTTTGCCTCCACTGACACTGCTGCGACCCTGCTGCCTCCTGGGCAACCCACCGACTGTTTTGCTCGCTGCCAAGCTGGCACCCTCTTCTCCTGATGATGTGGAAGAAATTGCCTGATGACGACGAGGCTGCCAAGTGCGATCAGCCTCCTCATCATCAAGTAGGGTCTCCGCCTCACTACTAGCCCCCTCGGCTGCGTCTGGGTCAGGAGACAGACCTGTCTCTAGACCGGCTACAGAGCCACTCTCCTCGCCAGTACTTCTTCGCCTGGCTGCTGAAGAGGCGGATGTCTCCCCCGTTCCTGACCGCCCTCTGTTAGCTCTTCCTCACTGTACAGTGGGGCTGAGCCCACAGCATGCGATACTTCGCTTGGTGAGGGAACAGCAAAGGACAGGGGCAGGTAGAGGACACGTGATTTCAGTGGGCTTGCTCCCGGGCCATGCCAACTAACGGTTGTGTGACTGACGTACACACCGACCGTTGGCTGTAGGTGTCAGGTGAGCTGGGAAGAGGAAGACGACCGAGCCAACCAATCGATGATGGCAGGGTTGTCGGTGGAGACACGACCGCTGGATGACACCGGGAGCACTGGCCTCTGGCTGCGAATAGTGCTGCCTCGACCCTTCCTCTGCTGCCACGTCTGCTCGCTCCTAAAACATTGCCTCCTCTGCCACTCCTCTGCGTGTTGTCTGACATACTCTTTAATTAAACGATTCTGTGTCCCTGAGTAACGATTCTGTGTCCCTAAGTAACAATTCTGTGTCCCTGAGTAACAATTCTGTGTCCCTGAGTAAAAATTCTGTGTCCCTGAGTAACGATTCTGTGTCCCTGAGTAACGATTCTGTGTCCCTGAGTAACAGTTTTGTGTCCCTGAGTAACAGTTCTGTGTCCCTGAGTAACAGTTCTGTGTCCCTCAGTAACAATTCTGTGTCCCTCAGTAACAATTCTGTGTCTGTCCCTGAGTAACAGTTCTGTGTCCCTGAGTAACAGTTCTGTGTCCCTGAGTAACAGTTCTGTGTCCCCTGAGTAACAGTTCTGTGTCCTTCAGTAACAATTCTGTGTCCTCAGTAACAATTCTGTGTCCCTCAGTAACAATTCTGTGTCCCTCAGTAACAATTCTGTGTCTGTCCCTGAGTAACAGTTCTGTGTCCCTGAGTAACAGTTCTGTGTCCCTGAGTAACAGTTCTGTGTCCCTGAGTAACAGTTCTGTGTCCCTCAGTAACAATTCTGTGTCTGTCCCTGAGTAACAATTCTGTGTCCCTGAGTAACAATTCTGTGTCTGTCCCTGACTAACAGTTCTGTGTCCCTGAGAAACAGTTCTGTGTCCCTGAGTAACAGTTATGTGTCCCTCAGTAACAATTCTGTGTCTGTCCCTGAGTAACAATTCTGTGTCCCTCAGTAACAATTCTGTGTCCCTCAGTAACAATTCTGTGTCCCTCAGTAACAATTCTGTGTCTGTCCCTGAGTAACAGTACTGTGTCCCTGAGTAACAATTCTGTGTCCCTGAATAACAGTTCTGTGTCCCTGAGTAAATGTTCTGTGTCTCTCAGTAACAATTCTGTGTCTGTCCCTCTGAGTAACAATTCTGTGTTCCTCAGTAAACAATTCTGTGTCCATCAGTAACAATTCTGTGTCCCTCAGTAACAATTCTGTGGTCTGTCCCTGAGTAACAGTTCTGTGTCACCTGAGTAACAATTCTGTGTCCCTGAATACACAGTTACTGTGTCCCTGTAGTTAACAGTTTCTGTAGTCCCTGAGTAACAGTTCTGTGTCCCTGAGTAAAACAGTTTCTGTGTCCCTGAGTAACAATTCTGTGTCTGTCCCTGAGTATAACAACTTCTGTGGTCCCTCAGTAACAATTCTGGTGTCACCTCAGTAACAATTCTGTGTCCCTGAGTAACATATTCTGTGTCATTGTCTTCTGTTGTAACATAGTTCTGCTGTCGCCCTCAGTAAACAGTTCTTATAATGCTGTCCCTGTAAGTAACAATTCTGTTTTCCTCACTCAGCCTAATCAATTTCCCTGTGTCATATGTCCATGTAGTAAAGAACAATATGTAAAACACAACACCAATTTCATGTGTCCCCATGCTTAACAAATGTCAATCTGTCTTGTCCCTACTGTCAACAGTTAATTCCTGTGTACAGTTCTGTAGTAACTCAGTTATTATTGTGTCCGATTCGATTAACAAATGTGTCTCCCTCAGTATTTACCAAATCGCTGCTGTTCCCTCGAGTTAACAATCCTGTGTCTCCTGTAAACAATTCTTGAGTAAATGAATTCTGTCGGTCCGCTCTAGTAAAAACAATTCTGTGTCTGTCCTGAGCATGTTCTCCCTCGAGTGAATCAATTCTGTGTCCCTCAGTCGACACCATTTCAATTCTGCTAGAGTCCAGTCTCACTAGTAGAACAAATGCTACCCCCCCTCATGTAACTAATTCTGTGGTCTGTACCTGATGTAACCTGTTCTGTGTGTCCCTGAGTAACAATTCTGTAGTCCCTCAGTAAACAATTCTGTGTCTGTCCCTCTGTGTTCCTATATAACAATTTCTGTAGTCCCTGGCAGTAACTAATTCTGTGACTCCTCAGTAACAATTCTGTGTCCAGTTCCCTGAGTAACTATTTCTGTGTCCCTCAGTAACATATTCTGTGTGTCATGTCCCTCAAGTCTATACACATATTCTGTGTTCAACCAGCAAAACTGTGTCCCTCCGAGTAAACATGTTCTGTGTCCCTGCGTAAACTAATTGCTGTCTCGCCACACGAGTACTACAGTTCTGTGTCCTGAAGTAACAATTCTGTGTCTGTCCGATGAAGTAACATTTCTTGTGTCCGTCTGAGTAACAATTCTGTGTCCTCTGAGTAACATATTCTGTGTCCCTCCAAAAACTCATAACATGTTTGTGTCCCTCAGTAACAATTCTGTGTCTGTCCATGAGTGAACAGTTCTGTAATCCCTCGCAGTAACGAATTCGTGTGTCCTTCTGTTAGTAACAGATTCTGTTTGTCCAACTTTGAGTAACAATTCTGATTGTCCCTGAGTAAAACAGTTCTGTAGCGTCCATCTGAGTAAACAAATTCGCCTGTGTCCTCTGAAGTCAACTGAAGCTTCTGTGTCCATCCATGGAAGTAACACATTCTGTGTCCCTTCAGTTCTGAAGGCCCTCAGTAACAATTCTTCTGTAGACTGTCCCTCAGTATAAACAATTCTGTGAATCATTCTGAGTAACAGTTTCTGTGACGATCCCTACACCATAAACAATTCTGTGTCCCTCAGTACTTACAATTCTGTGATCTGTCCCTGAGTAACTGTCTGTGTCCCTGTTCGTAACGTCTCTGTGTGAACAATTATCTGTGTGTTCTGGTGTCCCAGTAACAATTCTGTGTCCCTACGTAAACAATCTGTGTCTGTCTCTGAGTAAACAATTCTGTGTCCCTCAGTAAAACAATTCTGTGTCCCTCAGTAAACAATTCTCTGTGTATCTGCATCCCTTTGTCCCATGTAACATAATTCTGTGTCCCTGAGTACCAGTTTCTGTCTATGTTCCCTGTCAGTAAACATATTCTGTCCTGAGTAAAATTGTCCCAGTATAACAACTTCTGTGTCAGTCAGTATTTGATTCTGTGTCCCTCAGTGCAACTGTGTCCCTCAGTAATTCAATAACAAATGTGTCAATGTCCCCTGAGTAAAAGTTCTGTGTCCCTGAGTAACAGGTTCTGTGTCCAATCTGAAAGTAACATGTCGTCTGTGTCTGTCTACACTGAGTATAACTGTTCCCTCTGTTGTCCTGAGGTAATCAGTTAACCAAAACTCCTGTCTGTCCCCAGTACAACCAATTCTGTGTCATCCTGTAGTAACAATTCTGTGTCCCTCAGTATCAATGTCTCTGTCTGTCCCTGGCCAGTAAACAATTTCTGTTTGTCCCTCAGTAACAATTCTTGTGTCTTCTCAATACCCTGAGTTATACAGTATTCTGTAGGGGGTCCCTTCAGTAAAACAGTTCTGTGTCTGAGTAAAACAAATTTGTGTCTTCCTGTGTAAAATGTACTGTGGTCACTCCTGAGTAACAGTTCCCTCTGTTACTAAACGAAATTCTGTGTCTTTCCGCTCAGATAACAATTTCTGTGTCCACATCTAGTAACAATTCTGTGATAATTCCTGTTCCTCGATATAACCTGCCTTAATTCTCGTGTCTTGTCCCAATGGGTGAGTATGCAGTTCTGTGTCCATCTGAGTAACAATGTTCTGTGTCCTCATGCCTAATCATCAAATTCTTTGCTGTTCTAGTCCTTCAGGGAGGTTGTAAACAATATCTGTGTCCCCTCACATGATGTAGATGTAAGCCAAGTCCAAACTGTGAGATCCCTCTCAAGTATACAATTCTAGGCGTGTTCGCTCAGGAAGTCAATTGTCCATGAGGTAACTGAAATCCTTGTAGGCATCTGATGTCTTAACAATGCTCTGTCTCCTACAGTAACATAGTTCTGTGCTCACATTCCTCTTCGAAGTATAACAATTCTGTTGTCCAGTACCTGCAAGTTAACAGTTCTGTTTGTCCCCTGCTGAGTAACCATCCGTCTGTGCTAGTTCCTCTGTAGCTCTACCAGTTCTTGTGTACGTATCGAGTATACTAATTCTTGTGTCCCTCATGTAAGACGAATTCTTGTGTTTCTGTCCACGAATACGCAAGTTCTGTGTCCCTGTGAGTAACAAGTTCTCCGTGTCCTACTTGAGTAACAAATTCTGTGTCCCTTCAGTAACAATTCACAGTGTCCCTACAGTAATACAATTCTGTGTCTCCCTTTCAAGAGTAACAATTCTTGTGTTCTGTCTCACCCTGAGTTACAGATTCATGTGTCCCTGATAGTTAACTAGATTCTGTCTCGTGCCCTCTCTCAGTAGGCAAATTACTGCTTTCTGTACCTGATTATGTAACTCTAATTCTCGTGTCCTCAGTAAACAATTCTGCTGTACCATCAGTAAAAATCTGTGTCTTTGTCCCTGGAGTAACAGATTCTGTGTCCCACTGAGCTTAGTTAACAGTCTTCGTGTCCAGATAGTACGGGTTCTAGCTGATCCACTCAGTTAAAAATTTTCTGTGTCAGTTTTCTTGTTCAAGTAAAATTCTCAGTAGTCCCATCATAGACTAAACAATTTCTGTGTACCTCAGAGAACTTAATTCTATGCTCATTCTAGTAAATATATTCAAATGTGTCTGTCTAATGAGTAACAGTAACCACCCACATTCTGTTTGTCCTTTGGTACTTGGAGTCAACAAAGTTCTTTGGTACCATTAGTTATCAGTTTTCTGTGTCCTGAGTATCCAAGTCCTTGTCTCCTTAGTAGACTAACAGTTCGTGATGTCCTGATATGTAACAGATGATCTGTGTTAACACATACTTGAGTTGGTAACAGTTACTGTGTCCTTGATTTGACAGTTCTAGTTGTCCGTGACAAGGTACAGTGCCAGCTATTTACTTGACCCTACCGAACTGAGGAATCAGTAACAAGTGTTCGCTGCAGTACAAGATAACAGTTCTGTGTCCTCTGAAGTATTAGTTCTGTGTCCTTTTAGAGATAGCTCCACAGCTTCGTGTGTATCTCAACAAGTAATCTAATTTCTGTATAATGCCTATAAGTATCCTTGATTGAGTGCTACTTGTACCTCCTAATACTAAGAAGCAAGTCTGTACTCTCTATTGAATGAACGGATGGCTACATGGCTAGAAATTTTGTAAGATGCCTCGACCTAATTTATATGCTCACCATATATCTGACTTCGAGGGTACTGGCCTGGCTGGGAACCTGAATCTGGCTATATGCGATTCATCATTTCATGATATTGAAAGCAATAAGTGCGTAGTCAGCCGCGCCAAGAGCCCCCGACCTCTGCGCCGCCTTTGCCGAGAATCCCACGCTCTCTCTGTCGCCATACACATGTCGCTCAGCTACTCATTTTTAGGAAATAATTTTTGATTTGACGCATTCCGAGGATATGCTAAATTTTCTTATTTTAGGAGGTACGTTATGACGATTGCGTGAATCAGGAGAGGCTATTAGTTTTTTACCTAAAATTATATTCGAACGAATCATCATTCGCTCTACTTCGATTTTTGCTAATACTCATAGAGTCTACGACACCTCACTTCCCGGGCTAGGCGCTGTGAAATGAAATTGGGTACGCATACATGATAATTTGACTATTTTATGAGCTGGCTTGTAGTGAGGTGGTTGCAGTTGGTTAAACAGAAGTGCACTTTACAGCTTTCAACTCTTGGACTAAGGTCAAATGTACCTCAATGTGGCTAGTTCTCCCACAGTAATGATGGCAACAGGTTGTTAATCTTGCTCCTAGAACGGCTGGCCGTGATAGTTTGAACACGCTCTTCTTATGGTTGTTAAAGGATTCAGCAGGGTACCTGAGTGCTAGCACGTGATTTGTCGTATGTTCATCGGTGTATCAGGTAGCGCATTCTGGATTGCGATTTCCACAGATAAGTGTGCTACTGACTGGTCCTGGATGCATGTGTCAGGCTGATCTTAATACCTATATACTGCAAGGTTGTAACAATCCGTAAGCAGCTCTCACGCCGCTGACCTGTAACCTTCTCTTCCATCCTGTGATCCTCGCTAATGCGCATTGTGTTCGAATCTAGAATTGATGAGGAGAACAAGGGTCATGATTATTTTCCTAGTGTGGCTGGACTATTGCCTTACCTCTGAGCTCTAGTCTTGTCTTTCAGGACTCAGGCTACTAATTGTCGCCTATGCTAGTAATCTGGATGCGCAACGGCCAACGTTGTATCCATTGTCGTCTGTCTCCCAATCTCACCGCACTGAATACTTCTCAACCCCGATAGCTCCTCTGCCAAATTGGCCTGACGACCATTGCACTGATTGAGATAGAAATGGGCCCCGCATTGTCTGGCTGATGTCCTGCTCGTTCGGGCGTTCATCTTAATAGTATAGTGCATCCATCGCCCTTCAAAAATGCTTGCCACAGATTCCAGCTGAGTGTTGTGTTGCTGGATCGTCTAATAGTTCCTAGATGCGACATTCTTGGGTTGTCTTACCATCTCAGTAGCCATATGAAAATAATAAACCCAACCTGTCTCTATGTGGTTCGTCAGCGAATTGTACGTGGATCTGTGAAAGCCTAAAAGTACTAACTAGGTATGCATACAGTAATGCATGCTCACATGTAGCAGTGCGATTCCATCTGTAATCGTTTTTGAGGACTAGAACATGAGGTTCATGGCATAAGCTGTAGGTTGTATGAGTGTCTGCTGTCCCTAGGCTCCTGGCTCCAGTTTCAGGAATCTAGGAATACGATCTGACCGTGGAGCATAGCATTGGGACTATGTCCTTTGGAGGTCATGCCAGAAAAATAGTTAGTGTTAGGTCTAGCATCTCTCGACTGTCCGCAGGCGTGATTATAGTCCCGTCCTTCCTCAGCTGCCTAATCGATCTACTGAGTAGAGTAGAGTCGCCCACCGATTGACTGCATGTGACCCACATACTTTCCATGGGGGAGATGCAGTCCATACTTCCAGTGTTTCGGTTCATCTTTGGTCCGGTTGGTACTGTTAAGCTGCCTGGCAGAGTCCTCTAGCAGCCACACGCACGGACGCTCTCATGGGGCGGGGT